ATCTGGCACAGGCCTCAGGCTGCTTCTACTCATGGCGGAAAGTGGCAGCAGCCGGTGGGTAGGAATTCTTTTTTTTTTGACAAATATTCTTTGCCTTTATTTCAAGTAACACCAATAATCAATTTTTAAAAAAGTCACAGAGAAGAAATGAAACATTTAAGAAGACCAGGATGAGTAACAAATCGTTACATGAAGTCAGCTTGCTAAATGTGTCCTTACACATTTAGCAAAGGGTAGAGTCACAGTTGAAGATCTTGATCCGTCCCATGTATTCCAACCCTCCTTTCAATGGGGCCCGGATTGCCTCTACCATCCTGACCACTCCGGATTTGCGAAAACAATGGTAAAGGCTGTTGCCACTCGCCCAGCCATCCACCTCCTCCCAGCACTGCTCCTTCAAAAGCAGTTTATAATTGACTTCTACTGATGTACAGTACCTATAGATTCCATATGTGGAATTTCCTTTTCTCCTCCTTCCATCTCTCCCCCACCTCCTTGTATTCCCTCAGCCTGACTGTTGTTAAGCTGTATGACTGGAGGTCTGGAGGTTTGAGCTCTAGCAGCGCAGGCCTGTTGTAAGGAACTTGGAAAAAACAATCAAGGATTCAGTCTTTGGTACAGGCACTGGGCTTCGTTTCCATGTTGTTGTTTTTCTGGTCTTAAAAGGCAAATTCTTTACTGATGCAGTAAGAATGGAGCATAAGTAAGAGGCAGCACTGAGACGTGGACACTGCCCTTCCACCTCCATATCTGAGCTCCCTCCTCTACACCACCATAGGCAGTGTGTTAATATAACGAGCTCAGGCAGTCAGTGCTATACTTGTGAAAAGAACTGAATACTATTCATTTCTAAACCCTACCCTCTTATACCACAGAACATCTTGATACTTGGTGAGCCTCAGATGTCCTTCCCTAGGAATTCTGACTAGTGTCTTCACTGACAGCTGGCTACACTCTATGAGTGATAATGGTGATGCCGAGGAAAGTGGCAAGGAAAGGAGGAGTCGTGAAAAGTGTATAAAAGGGTAACAAGTAACTGCTGACAAGGGCAAATGTAGGCACCTATAGCAGACATCCTGGGATCAGTGGATGCCTGTTATGCAGGGTAGCCAACGACAAGTTTTATGAGAATTTCCTACACCCAGGCCAAGAAAGAAAAAATATTTTCGAAGTGCTTATGTACTATCAATTAGAGAACTGCTAATTATGCAAATGAGGAGCCCTTTCCTGGCAGCTTATCCAAGTGGGGAAATTTCATGCAGGCTCAAATTTAATTAATTCTCACTGTTAAGACTTTGCCAAGTTAAGCATCCAAGGCTAGTTACTACACCCAGAACTAGCACCAAACAGTCTACCCTCCTCACCTTCACCACTGTTGCTATTTCCTTCCACTGCTCTGGACGAGGGTCCACTCCTGTGGGATTGTGAGCACAGGCATGCAGGAGAATAACACTTTGCTCTGGCATTTTCTAAAGAGAAAAACAACCAAGAGGTGACTTTGCTTTGCAGCTTTAAAAGAGATAATGTACCCGAAATGCCACAGGTTCACTATCATTTGATAAGTAACAAAGATAACTTGAGATCTGGGAATTAGCTCATCCCCAGCTGGGGGACATCAAATGTCTGCAAGGAGGTTTATTCCTTGATCCTTTACCCCTCCCACCCTGATAGCCACACTTACTGAAATGTCCTCTATAGCGCCTGTGAAGTTAAAACCACAAGTTTTTGGGTCATAGTATCGATAACCTTGTAGCTGCATGCCAGCATCCCTGAAGATGGGTGTGTGATTTCCCCAGGATGGTTTGGGCAGAAAGACATCTCGGCTGAACTTAAAAAATCTTTGCTGAAAGATGGAATGAAAGGAAATGAAAAGATCAAGAAAGGAGAGGCAAAAAAAGCTGGTATATTTTATTAAGAGGTTATTTTTCTCTACTGAAACCCAGCTACCCTCTATGGTTGAGAGACAGTACTGTCTCAGCAGCCAGACTGTCTGGGTTGGAATCCAGGCTCTGACAACTATACTGGCTGTGTAGTGAGGAACCTATTTGGGCCTCACTTTCTTCATCTGTAAAATGGGGTTAACTATACCTGCCTATGTCATAAGGATTAAATGAGTTAAAATACAAAGCTCCTTAGTAACAGTAAGTGCTCAATAAACTGAATTTATTATTATTATATCTTCCTTGTAATTTCTTCAAAGTACTTTCATTTTTAAATCAGAGGACAGAAAATTTGTCTACTTTGTGGAAAGAGGAAATCTACTTCTGGGTCGGGCCGGCCTGTGGCTCACTCGGGAGAGTGTGGTACTGATAACACCAAGGCCACGGGTTTCGGATCCTATATAGGGATGGCCGGTTAGCTCACTGGCTGAGCATGGTGCTGACAACACCAAGACAAGGGTTATCTTTAAAAAAAAAAAAAAAAAAAAAAATCTACTTCTGGGTCAGTAGTGAAGTATACACACCATAGGAAACCCCATTATTCTCAACTTACAGCTCTTTCATGAAGGAGTTTCCAGACTCACCAGAAAACTGGCTCCGATCCTTAAGGCCCCAGTTCCAGAAATGGTCTGCACAGTGACAAACTGAAGAAGAGACACCCATGGTCAGTGATATACAATACTCTAGAGGCCCAGCCACAGAGAGGCACTGCTCTGAACAGTCAGTGCCCTTCATACTTTGGAAGCTAATTCCTATGGCCTGTTATTAGTATCATCCTGTGTTATGTGGAAAACTCTCAGGACACAAAAATTCCTCCCCAATATATAAAAGGAGTGATTTATACAAAAAATATAAAAACACACTAGGAACAGTCACTACATTGAAACATGACTCTAGTCATGGAATGACTCTCTGAACGTTAAAGTTCCTCAAAAAGTAAGTCAGCAAGTCTATAGAATAATATTACTACATTTTAAAGGCTGTCTAAGAGATCCTCTTTTCAGTTTTCATAATCTTAAAATATTCATCTTTTGGGGACTAAAAAGATGCCTGAAGTAAATTTGCTTCTTCAAAATTGTCAACTTTAGGGCCGGCCCGGTGGCGCACTGGAGAGTGCGCCGCTTGGGAGCGTGGCAGTGCTCCCACCAAGGGTTTGGATCCCATGTGGAGACCGGTTCCCTCTCACTGGCTGAGCGCGGTGCGGGCGCAACACCGAGGGTTGCGATCCTGTTGCCGGTCCCCGGTACGGGCGCGACACCGAGGGTTGCGATCCCGTTGCTGGTCCCCGGTACAGGCACGACACCAAGGGTTGCGATCCCGTTACCGGTCAGTAAAAAAGACAAAAAAGGGAAAAAAAAAAAAAGTCAACTTTAAGGAATAAGAAAGAAACCATAATAGTTTTAAGAGATTTTTCTTATTTCTTTTTTTAAAGGCACTGTAAGGCTCTACAAAACATAAACCTACTTGCTGGACTAGGGTGGTAGTGGACTAAATAGGGAGAACACAACTAAAAAACACTTAAAAAAATTAGTCTCTGCAATCTTTGGCATGATGAAAATAAAAACCTAACCGTAGGTCCAATAATACTGATGATTAACAACCACACAGTAATTTATAAAAGACAAGTTGATGTTATTTTAATATTGACTAGTCTCATCCTTAGATTATAATTGTCTAGAAGGATACAGACTAAGCAAAATCACAGCATGAATTAAAAATTCAGACAGTTTAGGGGCCAGCCCGTGGCTCACTTGGGAGAGTGTGCTGCTGATAACACCAAGGCTGCAGGTTTGGATCCCTATATAGGGATGGCCGGTTAGCTCACTTGGGAGAGCGTGGTGTTGACAACACCAAGTCAAGGGTTAAGATCCTCTTACGGTCATCTTTAAAAAAAAAAAAATCCAGATGGTTTCATGGGGGATTAACATACGGTTGATTTTATGGATAGCAACTAAGCCATATTCTGTCTGTGACCTAGGATAATGACTACATCACTCTGGGGTTGAGGTTGTATGCTTTCCTCTGAGCTAACAAACTAATGTGTGGACTTTAGACCAGTCTTGTAAATAAGCTGTATTTATTCTGTTTTTTTTCAGAGGGGGAGGGGGGTTGAGAATGTTGGCTTAATTTTGCTAACTTGTATGTCTCCCCCATTCCCAGATTTACCCATTAAAATAAATACACAAATGTATTCATTAAAAAACACATTTTTTTCCAAAAGAAGGTAAACCATAATGACATAAGCTCTCACATTGGGAGCATGGTCTTCTCTCTTTCAATGTCCGACCTGGCTGTGAAGGGGAGGCAGGAGTCCCAGCCCCACAGTCCACCCATGGCTTGTTTTCTGCCTTCTTCTTCCATCCAAGCTGAAAGCTTAGGACACGAGGGTGGGTGCTAATTATAGGCCTAAAACTAGTCATAGGTAAGCATTTCTAAAGCATATTCAGTGTAAAATGAACATAAGCAGATGGAGATTAACAGTAAAATCAGTGCCAAATCTATCAGTCAAATTACTACTCCATTTTCAGGATTACTAGCACATTTTTTGAATTGGTGTTATACGAAATATTTAATTATTGCCAATTTACTATCTAAAAAGGAGTTATTAGCAATAGTTTGGACACCTTAAAACCATCATTACACACATGAAAACTGAGTTATCTTTTCTTATTTGTTTAAAATTATTTAAATTATTTCAAATTTGTTTAAATTATCAAATTTAAAAACAGACCCTGGATGATGCCAGAGTCTGTGCAGCTTACCCGGCCACTTTTCAACACTTCACTGTTCTCACCCAGGGCTAGTTCTGCAGATGCCTTACAAAATTCAGCCAGTCCCCCAATGGGCAGGTATTCCTTGTCCAAATTTTTTGCAGCAATCTGGGCCTCTGCCTAGATAAGAGAAAATACATTCATTTAGTTTCTTTTTCCTACCTAGGATTACTAAGATTAGTATTTAAAGTTTTATTAATTAAAATTTAGAGGTAAACCCTTATTTTTTTCTTTCTCTCTCTTTTTTTTGGCGGCTGGATGATGAAGGTCGAACTCTAGACCTTGGTGTTACCAGTACCACGCTCTAACCAGTTGAACCAATCAGCCAGCCAAAGCCTTGTTTTTTATTGAGTTAATGTCCATGAAGAAGGGTAATAACTTGATATTTTATACTACAGAAAAGAAATATTTTTTATTGTGTGTTATGTCCATGAAGAAGGGTAATAACTTGATATTTTATACTACAGAAAAGAAATATTTTTTATTTTTTATTGTGTGTTTTTTTTTTAAGTTAAGTTTTATGTGAATGGGTGTACAGTCTTTCTTGGTTACCATTTAACTTAAAATGGCATTCTTGGAATGGACAAGAAGAGTTTAAGAGCAATACCTAAAGTAAATGTAAGATGATAAAGTCAGACTAAATACATAAAAGAGAAACATTTCAAGGTATATGCCTGTCAAGAACTTCAAAGGGTTAATAGTAACAGCCACATGTCTTTGTGCTTTGGAGTCACGGGCCTGGCAGTCCTTTTCCACCTGTGATGTGACCCTGGGCAAGTTATTAAACCTTCCCATCCAATGGAGTCAACTGACTGAGCCAGGTGAATGGTGCTGCTGGGAAGTGCACCTCCTCTTTCCTCGGCTCCCAGAGTGAATCCTTGAAGGCAACAGAATGACTGTTTCTCTAGTGTGTTCCCCAGCCTCTCCTGATTTGGGATTTTGTTTCTGGTTCACTTACGGCCAATAAGCTTGTCCCCACTGATGACAGCAAAGACTGTGAATTTGGTTTAATGCTGTAACAAGTCAGTGATCTCTGTAGAAGGATGGTAGAGACCTATTCTCTGTTGGGTGAGTGAGGACAGAGAATCTGGTTTAAGTCTTTTTGTTCATTTGCCTTTGTCTACATAATTTCTAAGTAAGATAGGATACAGACACGTTGATAACTAAGCATAATTTAAAGTTTATATACACTTAATATTTTGCTTCTTATCTTTACATTCACTAGAGAGGCTATTGCTTTGAGTCATTATAATAAACATGTTCTTTGTTGTCATTTTGAGAAGGTATGAAAGGGATGAGTGTGGCTAGAGAAGTTGTACTGTATGTGTTCATGAACTTTGCTAGTCTGCTTAAAATGTTTGTGTAGGACTGACAATCCTGCCTTACCCCTTCAGTTGTCTCTGTGAAATAGAAGTTACTCTCATTAAAAATTAATGAGTGCTTGAGACTATACTAGAATCAACCGTGACAGAGAAATACAATTGTGTGTTTTTGTTTTTCAAGGAAAATGAGTAGTGTTGTCCTAAAGCAGCAGTTGTCAAACTTTTTGGTCTTGAGATCTCTTCAAACTCTTAAAACCTATTGAGGACCCAAAGAGCTTTTATTTATGTGGAGCATAACTATTAATATTTACTGTTAGAAATTAAAATCAGAAACTAAAACTGAAAAATCTGTCATACTTATTAATTGATTTGAAAATAGCAATGAGAGAAACACATGGCATGTTAATAACACCTTAATATCATTATGAAAATAGTTTTGACCTTGCAGACTTCCTGAGAGAGAACTACACCCTACAGTGTCAATTTGTCCCACATATGAAAGCACATATGAGGACAAAACTTGGAAAGTGAATTTTGTCTTGATTTATAAAAACTGAGTCTAAAAAGAAGCTATGATGTGTTAACATTTTAACAAAGTTTGCTCAATCTTGATGGGGTAGTTTCCTTGGTTTAGTGATTAATGACTTCACTTAAAACAGGAAAGGTTATTTTTTACCTCTGGTGCAATCAGTCTAGATAGCAGAGATTCTGTGCTTTACCAGAATTGTTTCCTATGCTTTATGTTGACTCTATTACATCCTTGATTATTTAAACAAAACAAAACAAAATGGTTTCTCAAATATGAAAGAGCTAAGGTTCCTTACAATTTTTATATATTTAATTTTAATGTTTTATTGTTATTTTGATTAAATAGGTAACCAGTGATTGTTTCTCACTCACAATCTTATTTTAATCAAGTGGCCAAATATCATCTCACAACTTTTTTTGCTTGGCCTTCCCCAAATTGGATCTGAAATATAGGAAACAAAATTTTCAGGCTTTCACTGAGAACTATCTTTGAGATTTCCTGTAGAGCCCCTGGGAAGTACTGTCTTCTCTTCCAGTAAACACCCTCCTGGCAGAATGGATGCATTAATGTATCAAACTGAGGTTTTTTTTTTTTTACCTCATGGTAAACTACTGACCTAAAAAAAAGATTCTACCCTTTTTCTTCAGGGGAAATAAGCAAGAAGCTTTTTACACAGTTTCGTATTATATAATACAAAGTCTTTATGATCTCCTAAATCAATCATTAAGAACCTGCTACCTGCTAAGAGCTGGGAATGTAAAGAAGAGTAAAACACAATCCCTTGGCACCAGATCAGTCCAGTGGGGTGACCAGCAGGGAGTTGCAAACCATGTAGGCTGGGAGGGAGTGGGAGAGGGAGGAAGATGATGTATAGTGATAAAGACAGGCCTAGGGCACAGAATATTATTTATGGGAGCCCTGAAGAGAGGACCTAGTAGCTTGGGGAAAGGGAGGAAAGCGTAGGGTTGGAAAGGCTTCCAGGAGGAGTGACCTATGAGCTGGGTGCTAAGGATGAAAGGAGGAGGAAAAAGGCATTTCAAGCAGAGGCTCAAGAGTAAAGGCTAAAAGTGAGAAAGAACTGGGTATTGTTGCAGCAGAAACGGAAGCCAAGGAAGCAAGGTTCCAAATTACTTAGGTGAAATAGCCTCTAAGTTCTCTTAGTAATCATTCGTCCAATCTCAACCAATCAAATGTTTTGGCGTGGCACAGTGAAAGTTCTCCGTGCTCATTATGCTAACAAGCTTGTAAATTATTTCATTAGAATTTCTTTCCCAGCAATAGTTCTCTGAACCACTGGCGGCAATTTCAGTACTGGGCAAACTGTATACATTCAAATAACAGCTCAGCCACCTACCAGCTATGTGAGCACAAGCAATTGAATGAACTTCTTTAAGTCTCAACTTTCCTTATCGGTAAAATGGGGGCATAATAGTAGCTATTTCACAGGGTTGGCATAAGGATGAAAAAAAACTCCTACCAGCTATGTGAGCACAAGCAATTGAATGAACTTCTTTAAGTCTCAACTTTCCTTATCAGTAAAATGGGGGCATAATAGTAGCTATTTCACAGGGTTGGCATAAGGATGAAAAAAAACCCAGAACAGAGCTTGGCACAGAGTGAGTGCTTGATATTAGCTGGTATCACTGTTACTAAATTATTACTACTACACTTTTATTTGTAACTGCTCTGCCACTAGTATGGAGCCTGGTAAGGCCAGTATGTAGAGAATTCAAGGAATATATATGGTCATAAGACTTCATGGTTGTTAAGGTCTTTTCTGCTTTTCAATTATTACTCCCATAGTTTTCTTCTAGAATCTTAGGAGACATTATCATTATTGCCATTGCCCCTCACTAGATTTAGTGCCAGAACTCGAAAATCCCTCCCTTTTGTTGTTGTTGCTTTCGGCTGCTTGGTTGTTTCTAGTAAGAAACACAGATACCTTGAAACAACTTCTGGACTGGACCTGAAGAAAACTTTTGTTATTTCTTTATCACAATTCAGACTCTGAAAACATGTAGCACCTGCTTAACTACTGTCACTGTCACTAACTGCTGAGTGAAAGAAATACTTTGAATGTCAAGGACATATTAGATTATAAAAAAGAAAACTTCTAGAAAGCAATTTTCATTTTTAAAAAGATGGTCTGTTTCCAAGGCTGTCAATCAATGATAACAGAGTTGCTGCCCCTAACCACAAGGACAGAAGGCACCATTTTTGTTAAAAACAGTGGAAAAACACTTGTCAAGTTCTTTAAAATGTTTAATGTGAGTCTTATGGCATATCTCTTAAGAATTCTAAAAGCAACTTCAAAATATTGAGTTTTAAACAACATGAATATAGGAGCAGGGATACTTGATTTGATTAGCCCTACATTAGTGCGGTGGTTTGAATATCCACCCCAAACTTATTGGTGCTTGACTTGTGTCCCCCAAGTTTTACATATTAGAAACTTTGGCCCCACTGTGACTGTTAAGGGGGGGGCGCCTTGAAGAGGTGATTACATTGTAGGACCATGCCACAATGAATGGATTAAAAATGGTGGGGGTGTGGTTCTGAGGGGTTTAAAAAGGGAGCACAAAGTTTCTTTCACTCTCTCTGCTCCACCATTTTCTGCTGTGTGAGATCCCTGGATCACTGTCGCCACCACCAAGACCCTCACTAGATGTGTTCCCTGCACTGTAGACTTCCTAGCCTCCCAAACTGTAAGCAGTAAATCCTGTTTTCTTATAAATTACCCAGTTCCAAGTATTTTGTTATAAGCAACAGAAAAGGGCTAATACAATTAGTAATCATGTTTCCAGCCCTCTATGCCCTTCATTCCTTAAAATGTTAAAGACTACACACACATTGTAAGATCTCTGATGTTTCCAAAGGAAGTGTATTAGATGAAAACAAGAGAGCTCTAGGGACAAAACTGATGCTGGTAACATCAAAGTGATTTCTAACAAAGCGATTCCTATCAGTGTACTCTGGACATAAGCACAAAACCTCAAACGCTGAGCAATATTGACTAGTCAACCAAAAGATATTAGGTACAAAGTATGCAGCAAAGCATTTCCAATTCAAATGACTTGTGGTTTCCCAGGGGCTTAAGCCTACCTAGAGCTTCATAGTTTTTAAAATATTTTTCCTCACATCCTTCTTATTTTAAAATTAGAAGTTAATTAATTTGCCCATGATGACGGAGCTAAAAACGACAGAGATAATACCACAATTCTGACCTTCTAACTACTGAAGGTAGTTATTTTAATTGTTATTACAATTGATATACTGGTTATTGTAATTGTACCACTGTTACACACTGCTTTTCTCATGATACTCCTTCAGTTATTTCACTAAAAATTAAATAATCAGAATTAATTAAAAACAGATCATTACAAATCAGAATACATTACAAGTTTGTCTTTCTTCATTGATCTGTGACTATGTCTGATCTCATGTCACTGTGCTTTTAGAGCACAGGTCAACAAGAGAAAGTTATATATTCAGTGTTTTCTGTTTAAAAAATGCAGCTAAATGAAACACTTGAAATAGAAAAAGTTCCATTCAAATGACCCAAGTATGAAATTAAATATTTCACTGGATAAATTTTCAGTTCTTTGGAATATCAATTGCCTAGGTTTTATTGTATGTATTAGAATGAGACGTTTTTAAAAAAACAACTTCAGTGGGTTGAGTTTATTTTAAATGTTTTCTACTTTTATCATTTGGCTCTAGGTAAAGATCCCTTCCACAGTGGAGGGAGCAAAGGTTCTCACTTCTTTATCTGAACAGTTAAACTTCATGGCCAGACATGGCATCTGACTGTATCACCCAATCGAGTATAGTTTAAACCTGAACAGCGCCTCCTCAACATGAGGTGCTCAAATATTTAAAGACTATATTTTTGGTACATATTTTGCAGCACTGTGGCTTCTCTATGTGTTTAGATTCTGATCTAAAGTAGAACATTAAGATGTCATATTTGTTTCTGTTTTGAGTTAAAAGTCAGGATTTAAAATAATAATATGGCAGGCACTGTTATATGCTGAGCTTTAACAGTGAACAAAGTAGGTAAGGGATCTGCTCTCATTGAACCTACATTCTAATGGGGAAAAGACAAAAAAGAAAAATGAGTCAGGCTCTCAAACTGATAGAATGACTAAAAAGTCACACTCAAAGGGATTTTCACCAGGCAATTTAACTAGAGCTTCAGGCCACTCGGCCAAATCCATAAAACAAGGAATTATTTTAAGACTACCGCAATGGTGAAAGACTTTCTCTTGCCCATAACTTTAGGCACTCCTTTCTGTTCTTAAAATGGGTTGCATAAATAACTCCTCCCTAATCGTGGCCCACTAGGTAGGCAAGCTTAAAGAGCACACGTTGACAGTGGGCCAAGAAGGAGCCAAATCAGGAAGAGGAGAGAGTTTAAAAGCCCAGGCAAAACTGTACTGCCAAGTGTGGGGCTCTGGAAAGGACATACTGTTCTGCTGGCTTAAAGACATCGTGCATATGTTCAAACGAAAGGCCAAGCAGGGCTTTGCTCCTTGTAGTTAATGTCTGCTTGGTGGGTCCCTCATTAGGGAGTACTTAAAGAGACTGCCCCAAATCGGCTTCTTGAGTGAATTAATCTCCTGGTTCAGGTCTCCACAAGGAAGGAATTACTAGCTCGTTTTATGCTCTGAATTTTCCCTCAGCACTATATATCTCGGTTCAAAATTACATATTAGTCATTTTTGGAGACGTCTGTCCTTCCTTCGGTCTTGTTCACCGCCGCATCGCCAGCATTTGGTCCAGTGTACGGCTCTGAGAAACTGGGGTTACGAAACATTTACTGAATATTACTAAGCAGACGAGAGATGGAGAGGAAGATCGACAACTTCCCTACAACAGGACCTCCTAAGAGTTAAAAAAGAAAAAAGAGGCCCACTACATTTGACCCTACCCATCCAAGGGCCAAAGGGGCGCGGGGTCACTGGGGATTCGGGAGGTCACAGGGACGGGAAGACGCCGCACGCCAAGGTCACGGGATGCGGTGAAGAAAGCGGGGCCCGAACGCCGGCGCCCCGGGAACCTTCCTCCCGCGCGCTGCCTTCCCCTGGGTACACACGCGGCAGCCAGCCTCCGCCCAGGCCCCCCGCTCCGGCCGGAGAGAGGCCGCAACAGCTGCGCCCGCCCACCCCCCAGGGCAGCGGGTCAAGGGCACGCGCGCCCCCGGGTGCCACAGCCAATGGGCGCGAGGCCGGCCGGCGCCGCGGCCGCGTGCGCTCCCCTAGCCCCCCTCCACCGTCGCGCCGACTCTGCGTCTCGGCCCCCCTTTGAATGGGAGTCCGGGAGCCGCAGAGGGCCACACTTCCTGCCCCAGGGAACCGCGTTGGTCCGCCGTCCCGCGGTGCCGGGTGCAGGGGAGGGGGTGTGGGACCCTGAGAGTCATCGTGAGGCGCGGACGCTCAGTCCTCAGTCAAGGGAAGCCGAGAGGGTGACAGAGAAGAGGGTGTGTGTGTGTGTCTGGGGGCCGGGAGCGGGGTGGATGTCCTGGGGCGCCGGCAGCTCGGCTGGGCAGGCCCGATGTCCTGGCCCCATCTCTGTATCCCTGGGCTTACCTGGCTCTGGCAGAGGCTGCGGCGGCCAAGCCTGGGTGGAAGGCGGCGGCGATCCCGGAGAGGGCGCGACCGGAGTGCAGCAGGGCCATGGTGGGCGGCAAGTGGGTAGTGGGTAGGTGCAAGACAGAGCGGAGGGCAAGCGGGCGGGGACACTGAGGCGCAGGCTCCTGCAGAAGGTAAGGACAGCGACTTCCCTGGGCGGGGCTAGAGCGGCCGGG